AATTGAATAGAAGAATGGCTATATGGAAGAAAGCAGAAGGTTGTTACAAATGGAGTTCAGCCAAACTGGATTAATGTCACAAGTGGGGTACCTCAGGGATCAGTCTTAGGACCTTTGCTCTTTTTGGTTTACATCAATGACATAGATGAAGGAATAGTCAGTAAGTTACTTAAATATGCAGATGATATTAAGGTCTTGGGTGTTGCTAGTTGTGAAGAGGATGCTGCTGATTTACAAAAGGATTTAGATTGTTTAGTGAGTTTGGCAAATAAATGGCAGATGGATTCTATTTATAATAAATTCAAGATAATGCATGTGGGTTATCATAATTTGAATTATAAGTATAATTTAAATGGGAATAACCTTAACAGTGTTATGAAGGAAAGGGATCTTGGTGTAATATTCAATCAGTCTCTAAAGCCATCCAAGCAATGTACTGTTACTAGTTGTAGGGCAAATGGGATTTTAAGTTGTATCTTCAGCAATATTGAATACAAGTCTAAAGAGGTTATAACATCATTGTATAAGTCACTGGTTAGACCACATTTAGAATACTGTGTTTAGCTTTGGGCTCCTTACCTTAGGAAAGACATTGAATTGTTAAAAAGGGTTCAGAAAAAGGTTACTAGAATGATGCCTGGGATGGAGGGGTTGTCATACAAGGAAAGGATGATATCTCTCAATTTGTTTTCACTTGAAAAAAGGAGTGCTAGGGGATCTGATTGAGGTGTTTAAGATTGTAAAGGGAATTGATAGTGTTGATGCATCATCTGTTTTTCATATTTAACAGTGTGCATAGTAGGACTAGGGAACACAAATATAAATTTGGCATGATAGGAGTCATCTTCAGCTAAGACAGTTTCATTTTGCTAACAGGGTGGTTGGCCATTGGAATGAGTTGCCTTCGGATGTTGTAGAGGAAGTAAACTTAAGTGAGTTTAAGAAAAAGCTTGATAAGTATATGAATGATAAGGGCTAGCTTTAAGATTTTTTTTATTATTGTTTTAATTTTGTTTAGAAAATGGGACAGCCGAGATGGACCAATAGGTCCCATGTTGTCCCAAAATATTATGTTATGTTATAACCAAACACCAAAATACTAACCACACACACCAATATAATAACCCAACACCAACAAACTAACCACTCACACCAATATACTAATCAGACACATACACACACCAATATAATAACCCAACACTAACAAACTAACCACTCACACCAATATAGTAATCATACACACCAATTTGATAACTAAACACCAATGTACTAACTACTCACATCAATATACAACCAGAAACACACTCACCAATATTATAACCAAACATTAATATAATAACCACTAAAACTAATACACTAATAAGACACATACACACACACACACCAACATACTAACCACTCACACCAATATACTAATCAGACACACACACACCAATGTGATAACCAAACACCAATGTACTAACCACTCACACTAATATGCTAATCTCACACACACACACACACCAATATAATAACCCAACACCAACAAACTAACCACTCACACCAATATACTAATCAGACACATACACACACCAATATAATAACCCAACACGAACAAACTAACCACTCACACCAATATACTAATCAGACACATACACACACCAAT